AACTGTAGGAGCGTGAGCAGGCGGTAGCGGCAGTTAGCGGTACGTGTGGGACAGGGCAGGAGCGCGTAGGCAGCGCGAGAACGAAGGGCAGGTCAGCGCTGGGCAGCGTGCAGGGCAGCTCTGGCGGCAGCCAGGCAGGGCAAGGCAGCGCTGGGCAGCGTGCAGGGCAGCTCTGGCGGCAGCCAGGCAGGGCAAGGCAGCGCTGGGCAGCGTGCAGGGCAGCTCTGGCGGCATCCAGGCAGGGCAAGGCAGCGCTGGGCAGCGTGCAGGGCAGCGCTGGCACGGACAGTGTAGGGCGCTGGCACGGGCAGGGCAGGGCGCTAGTGCACACTGTGCAGGGCGCTGGTGCGTAGCGCAGGCAGGGCAGGGCGCGTGGCGCGGTGGCAGTGCAGGGTGCGTGGCACAGGCAGGGCAGGGCGCGTGGCGCAGGCAGGGCAGGGCGCGTGGCGCGCTGGCAGGGCAGGGTGCGTGGCGCAGGCAGGGCAGGGAGCTAGCGCGCGCAGGGCAGGGCGCTGGCGCGTGGCGCAGGCAGGGCAGAGCGCGTGGCGGAGTGGCAGGGCAGGGCGCGTGGCGCAGGCAGGGCAGGGCGCGTGGCGCAGGCAGAGCGCGGGCGGGCAGGGTGGCGCTGGGCAGCAGTGGGGCGCGATGCATGGGCTGCAGCAGGGCGCGACGTGCGGGGCAGCAGGGTGCGACGCGCGGGCTGCAGGGCGCGACGCGCGGGCAGCAGTGGGGCGCGACGCGTGGGCTGCAGCAGGGCGCGACACGGGGGGCAGCAAGGCGCGACGCGCAGGCTGCAGCAGGGCGCGACGTGCGGGCTGCTGTAGGGCGCGACATGCTGGCAGGCAGGGCGGCGCGGCAGCCATGCAGGGCAGCAGGGCGCGCGGGCAGGGCAGCAATGTGCGCACACGGGCAGGGCAGCAGGGCGCGCGTGGGCAGGGCAGCACGCTGGGCAGGAGGGCAGGAAGAAATGTTTACAAGGCCGGGCTAGGCGGAACGTTCGGTGGGCCCTAGGGAACGAACCTACTCTAATACCATGTCAGAATAAGGACACAGGAATGTGTGCATTGAGTAGAATGGGAATACAAGTAGTAAACCCTAATAGAGTTGTCCCCTCTACAGTGTACCCCAGTATAGACTACAGCACTAGAAGTGCATACTTTGACAAACCGTTCCTGCCCTCTTCCCTCTCATTTTTGTATGCCAGCAACCGTCTTCAATCAGAACCGTCTTAGACCCTTCAGCCCATCGCGCCCATTCATCTTCATAATTCGAAGGGTTTGACTATGTTACGTTCAGGAATGTCAAGTATATTCCTGATCGTAACAGAATGTGTACCAAGGCTTTAAATATTTCTGATTCGCAGGGTGAATATTCATATGATTTTTTTTTTTTACATTTATGTAGAGGCATAATTCACGAATGGTACCACTTTCGTCTTATGAACATATTATATGGTTCAAGTAAACTGTATTTTATTGTGCCTATGTTCAAGCTTTCTCTAACGAGATACCCAGAAAACATTCCCATTCTCGCCAGTCTCGAACCAGCGAACCAGCGCTGCTTGTAGTGCATTCAATGGTATGGACACTTTTCGACCCGATTTTGAGATTGGTTGGTACGTCCGCTCCGCTTTCGTGGTTTTGGGCACGTGCTACAATTGTTGTCACTCTGGCACGAATCCTGTCAGCCAGAGATACGCTGTGGTTGGTCAACAAAAACGATTTTTTTTTTTCCAAGAGCCATGGGGAATATCGAATTACACCAATCGTGGAGGAAAGCGGCTCCTTTCACTCCCTAAGTGATGGGGCATGATTTTGTCCACGTGGAGGACATGCTGCCTGAGCAAGTATATATTTTCAGTGGGATAGTCTTAGTTCGTGAAGGCAGCCTACAGGCTTCTGTTTGTTGAAATGCGATTGCGTAAGTGTCATCAATGTGCAAAACGGAGTGCCCCACGTATAGGATCATCAGGAGAGGTCAGTGGTTCCATCAGTTCAACGGAGCCACGGTCTGCGAAGAAAAAAACTGTTGGGGAAGCATGGGAAAACAAGAATGGTTACGATTCACATGTCCACCACCACCCCTCCCCGATATCCCACCGTTGGAAAATATTGTTGGAACAATAAGATGAGAATGATGCTGCTGAACCTGGTGCAGTTTCAAACGTGAAAGCAAGAAACCATGTGAGCGTCACGTGATAATAAATGCGGTGGCATGCTAGTGGCAGACTCAATCAACCGTGCGACTTTTCCGGACTGACAGCGTTTCATATCAAGAAACGACTTCAGGTGCAGCAGGAATGTTGCTCCACGCGGGCGTGGCCGCATACTACTGGTTTACTCCCCTAGGTCATGGGAACAGTTCGGTAAAGGCACCGAAATTTGTGGGGAGTATTTCCTGGCCACATGTCAGCTTCTTCATTCCCTCACTCCTGGGAATGGTTTGCAAGAAAATCTTCAGAACTTTCAAGTGAAAATAAAAATAATCAGCTCCCCTCAAGCACGTCACCTTTGACCTCATCATTCTGTACCAAAGCAGCTTCACGTGCAACCCCGACAGTGTAGGGTTGGGCCTCGCGAATCGTGAGTCGTCATCATGACTCGCTGGCTGCCTCTTCAGTGACGCTAGGGTCAACGAACTTTTCTTCCCTTCACCTTTCTGGCATGGTTCCACCACTGGAAACAGTTTTGCTCAGTACTGGCTTTGTTTACTTAGTGAGACTTGATTCACTTGGTGAGCGCTGGTGTTGCCATCGCAGCTCTGTACTGTACATACAATCAAGAAACTCGAAATCCTCCTCCCCGCAAGCGGCGCCTAGCGTGGGATATGAAACGCTTCTCCTCGGCAGATATCTTCAAACTCATCTCTTGAACAAACCACACTCTACAATCCCGCCACTTGCGGCGAACCACGACCACATCTTGGAGGAGGAAAGCACATTTGCACTGTACAGTAATATCCTACCTTCGTGCTTGCTTTCTCAAGTAGCACCTATGTAACCATGATGGTGGGAATGAGCAGCGATTGTGATGCATTCCTAACTTTCAATTGGTCCCCCATCCAGCCGTCCGTGCACTTTCCACATTTTTTCCCCCACAAAATCACAACTACCCCCTCCCCCCACGCGCTCGGATGATGCTCCCCTCCAGCACTTCCCCCCGACTGACCGCACATTTGTAGTCTCCCCCAAACGAGTAGCCCGAGCACGAGTAAGCTCACATCACACTAGGGGCACTCCTCCCACTCTCCGATTGCTGCTGGGTGACTCACCCAGCAAGCTCGCGAGCATATCGCACAGCGCCAGCGCACAGCAGCTCGCACGCAGCGCACAGCGCCAGCGCACAGCGGCTCGCACGCAGCGCACAGCGCGGTGAAATGGGTCCCTCCCTCCCTCCCATGTCAGATTTTGAGATGCACAGCCCAGAGCGCGGCTGACGAACGACCTTCCCCCATAAACGCAACGTCAAAGAGACACTGACTGCCCGCCCACTGGGCCAATAAAAAGGAGGTCAGCCGACTGTGCGGTGGAACGAAAGCCGTCCCTGTCCGTGAATCACTCGGTCCTGCCCAACCATATCCTACTGTGCACAGTACCTGTCCCCGATATAGCCCATATCCATCATACTTCACTCTCGGGCTGTTCTCTCTCACGCAGCCGACTCCTCGTTCCAAACCGCCTTTTAGATCATGCAAGAACGCGCTGTTCCTCGACCAGAAACCCGTCAGCAGCACTTTTCACATGGTGACTCAGCAAGCCAGCAAGGCGCAGAGCAGAAGCTTCTTCTCAAAAAGCAACCTTCTAAGTAATCAGTGAACCAACGTCTGTTCCATTCCAACACACCTTTGTCCCCTAGATTTACTACTGTCCTGAGACAGCTCCGCAGAGAGCACCGTCTCTCCTTTCTTTACTCCACCGTTGTGACAACCGTCGAACGGTCGAACGTCTCGCCGCGTTCCACGAAAGCACAAGCCGTGCCTGGTACTATTACGACTATCAAGGGCACCGCTTACCGGTTTTTAGCATCATGAACAGTCTTCGTTACCTCCCCACTTGCTTCGACTCAAAGCCTTTCTGCCGGCGGTACCATCCCCTGACACGAGCAGCAGCTGCTGTAACCTCTCCGAGTCGCCCAGATGCCTGCTGCGCCACCTCTGAGCCTCCCGCCGGTTCCGCTGTCAGCTCTGCCGTGGGTTCTGCCGTCGCTTCCGCTTTAGGTTGCGCGCAAACCACCTACGCCCCAGTTACCTCGCACGTGCGCGCGACGTGCGCCCTTTGCGCGCGTTCCGCCGCGGTGCGCTGCGCCGCCGACCGCGCGGACCTCTGCGTCGAGTGCGACGCGGCTGTGCATTCCGCCAACTGCATCTTCCGCCGCCACGCGCGCTTCGTTCTCTGCGCGCGCTGCGCCGCGCCGACCAACTGCCTCTGGCCACCCCCGGCGCCTGGCGCGAACCACGCTCTTCCGCCGCGCGCAGTGTGCGGAGCTTGTCTTCCGCTTCCCCCCGACGAGACGCTCCCCAAGCGCCAGAAATGCGATGCTTCCGCTGCATTGCTACCCCCGGGACTTGCGGGCTCAAGCGGACTCAATAATCTCCTTTTTCACCCGTTCTCGCTACAACAGCAGCAGCAGAAACAGGAGGAAAAGCAGCCGGCGCTTCTTACCGTTCCAAGCTTTTTCAGCGCCGGTCCGCTAAGCCTGACAACAGTAACCAGGAGCCAGATTGAAGCGGCGTTTCCGCTGCTGAACGCGCTTTCGCGGTCCAACGACGACCTCTCCCCCCCCGACCTTCCGCCGCTTCCAAACTCGGCCTCCTGCAGCTCCCTCACTGGCGCTGCCCCCCCGCGCTCCCCCCAGACTCCGCGGACGCTCCAGCTCTTCCCCGAGTTTGCGGAGACCGCACCCGCTCAATCCGAGGGTCAAGCGCACCAATTCAAGCAATGCGGGGGGGAAACTACGCCTCCGAATACCTGCGGTGGCTTCTCGCGTCAGCCGCAGGCGGCGATGGTGGCGGAATGTGCTGCGTCTGACACGCGAAGCCCGCTGCGACTCCTGGCGGACATTGCGGGCGCGGATCTAGCTGACGCGGGGGCGGCGGCGGAAGCGGCGGAGTCGCCGTTATTACCAGAGCTTGCTTTCCGTTTGCCCATGCCCCTCACCCCGGCGGAGGCAGCTGCGCCTGCTGGCTCGTTGAAAAAGGGTTTGGGGTTCTTTCTGACCCATCCTTTTGCGGACACAAGCGATATCACCAACAACATAACATTTCTGGGCAAACGGAAGTTCGCGTGTAACGAAGATTCCTCAACCGAAGCAGGAGAGAAACAGCGATCGTCGCTGCCGTCGCTGGTTCCGCCGTTTACCCAAACGGCTTCCGTCATCCCACCGCCGCTGGTCGTGGTAACGTCGTCACAACCACCACCCCTAGCGGCAGCGGCAGCGGCAGCGGCAGCGCCAGCAGTAAAATCGTCAGTGGGAGCGACAGCGGTGACATCAGCAGCAGGAGCCGCAGAACAGGCGGACAGGTATTTCCACCTCTCTCCGCGCAGCAACTTGCGCCATCAGGCCGCGGACCGTCTGCGCCGCATCCTCTGCTCGTGGTGCGCCAAGCTGGCGCTGCGCGGGCGGCGCGTGGTCGACCTTGCGCTGCACGTGCTCCAGCGCGCGCTTAGGGATCTACCGCTCGGATCCGTGGACAGCAACGCGCTGCGCGTGCTGCTCGCGGCGTGCCTGTGGACGGCGGCGAAGCTGGACGGCGGCCATCAGAAGGACGTTCCCAATGGCGCCGCAATGTCTTCCGTCTCATTGGTGGAAGTGAGCGTGCTACAGGCGGCGGAGCTACAGCTGATGAAAATGATGAAGTGGAAGCCTCTGGAAGGATTTGAGGAATGAAGAAATTTCGGAGCGGTTATTGATGGCTTCACCCTCTCTCATCAGTCAGGGATTCTCCTGACTGCACGCTCTGATTTAGAACTACACGATTAGGACCAACTGAGTGCTAACCATTTTTGAATCAGGGGAGAGAGGAGGAGACGCCATTGATCCGCAGTTTTGAAGCGCAGGAGGCGGAAGACGGGGACGTCGCCCAGTTTTTTCTGACCGTCTAGATCTTCCCGCCTCAGGCGCGTTCTGCTACTTTTTCCGCGCTGCTTTCCGCAGCGTGGCAGCTTGTCCGCTAGTCCTTAGAAGTTCTCACTAAAATCTAGGCACAGTAAGTGTATAGTTGCTTGTTTATCTCTCAAGCACAAAGCAGCCTAGTACTAAAATGCTATTGCATGCTTCCCTGTTAGTACAAGTGCAAGTTCTACCGTATTGACCCAATATTCCAGTTTCTAATCATCGCAACTTCAAAGTGTAACCACAGGTGTAGTTGAACCTCATACAAGTCAAAATGCAATTGATTTAGCAGTTAATATCACATCCATAGGACACGTAAGGCACAACATGTTACAAATTCAAAACATCAGCACTACAATAAACAGATGGTCTCAAAATACAAGCCTCTGACCAGCGATAACAGACAATGCGTCAAAATACATCTACAGTGGACGAAAGCATGGAGCAGAGGTTGTACCAGGAAAGAGGTCCAAACGGAGATACAGACTGGAGCATGGTATGGTATTACAACAGCAGGACGGGAAATGACGAGTGGAAAGGTGGGAAAGGGAGCGGCGCAGAATGAAGGGACAACAAGAGGGGTATGGAATGGGTATGGAATGACAACAGGCAAGCAACCATCATGCTCAGAGACAACAGGTAACCAGCTGAGGATAAATATGCAAGACTGGGACCAGGAAGGAGGTGCTTGGGACCTGGGAAGGCTCAGCATCATCACCAGCCATCCAATTTCGGCGGAGCTTAGGCATTGCAAGGCACAATGCAAGCAGTGCACATGTGTCTGCTCGCACCGTGTGGTGGCAGCTGCCTGCCCCTGAGAGGACTAGTGAGATGCGCGAGACTTCAGCTGAAATCCGGGTGGGGTTACCCTCGCAGATGGTGGATGGAGCACACGGGTATCCAGGTGGGGATATACTCGGATGGAAGATGGTCGCAGGAGGACAGAGGTACAGGCAAAGCAGGGCTACCTGGGGAATGGGACAGCTGTTGCTGAGGTTGGCACGAGAAAGAGAGGGTGAGAGGGCGAGTTTTTGTGAAAGCGAGTGCAGCCAGGGAGGGCAGCAAAAGCAGGGCTACATGGAGAGAGAAGGCTACTTGTGCAGGGCTAGTAGGAGAGGGCTTCTTGGGAGGGCTAGTTCTGAAGATTCACTTGGGCAGGGCTACTAGGAGTGGAGAGGGGCTTGAGTAGGATTCACTTGGGCAGGGGAGGGCTACTTGGGGCGGAGGTTGGTGCGGGCGAGGATGCGCTTGCCGTAGGGGCTGCTGCGCAGGGACGGCAGGTGCGGGCGAATGGCCTCCACCAGTGCAGTGTACAGCGGTCCCTGAGGGTGTGAGGGAGGGTTTGAGGGTGGGACGGGTAAGAGGGAGAGAAAGGAGGACGGGTTGAGTGGGCGGATGAGGGACGGCGGGTGCGGGCGAATGGCCTCCACCAGGGCTGTGTACAACGGCCCCAGGGGGAGTGCGGAAGAGGGTGAGGGTGGGCAGAGCACAGGGAGGAGAGGGTGAGGGTAGGCAGGGCGCAGGTAGAAGAGAGCAAGTGAGGGTACAGGAGAGAGAGCTTGAGGATGGACGCACGGAGGAAGGAACTCAGCAGCGGGATGCACTTCTCTCTCTGCCCTGTGAATCCCTTTCCCTGTCAACCCCGCCTTCTCGTACCTTAGCCACGGTGAGTGCAGACTGAACCACATAGTTGGCAAAGGGGTCCTGCAGGAGTTGGCCGAGAGGCGAGACGACGAGCTCCTGGATGATGAGGTGGCGGCAGTTGTCGGGGGCGAGCTTGAGGCACTTCTCTCTGAAACCCTTTCCCCTCCACCCGACACTCCCTCTCCTGTACGCCCAGCGGCCCAGCCTCACCTTAGCCACGGTGAGTGCGGACTGAACCACATAGTTGGCAAAGGGGTCCTGCAGGAGCTGGCCAAGCAGGGGTGAGACGACAAGCTCCTGGATGATGAGGCAGCGGCAGTTGTCGGGGGCGAGCTTGAGGCACTTCTCCACGACGTTGCTGCTGAACTTCTGCTGCGCCAGCGGGGCGTACTGCCCCTGCAGCCGCACCACCACCTCCTCCATCGCCCACGGGAGACCCAAGTCCAACACGTACTGCACCACGTAGTTGCTGGGAAGGGGTGGGGAGGGGATGAGAGCGGGAGAACATGTTTGAGGTGTCGTGAGAGTGTGCAGGCACACCACCACCTCCTCCATTGCCCATGGAAGCTCCAGGTCCAGCACGGTCTGCACCATGTAGTTGCTGGGAGGGCGGGAAGGGGGGGGGAGAGCGGCGGACGGAAAGGTTCTGCTGCCAAAGCCTGGTTGCTGTCAGCCTGGCGGACCCATAAACAAGGGTCTTGCTTGCTGAGTATCATCATCACGGTGGCTGCAGCAACTTGCAGTGAAAAACGATGGCGAGAGATCGTTGTGAAGTGGGGGATTCAACTGAAAGATGGTTGGCTAAGAGGAGGAACTCACCCGAAGGGATCTTGAGAGAGGACGAGGGCGTTGGAGGCGACTTCCGCCAGGATGCGGTTCTTCTGCTGGCCCTGTGCGAAGTCAATGCAGCGCTGCAGCACACAGCAGCCGTGGCGGTGCGACGCTATCTCCACGCAGTGGGACACCGCCGCGTTGAAAATGAACTGGGGGGGGGGCGGGGTGGGGAGGGGGAAGGGGGGCAGAACGTGGGGGACGGGGTGAGGAATGGGTGAAATTCTCAGTTGCCTCAAAGATTTCAACGCAGTAAGAGACTGTGCAGTGAGTATGAATTGAGGGAAGTAAAGAGGTGGCGGAGAGATGAGCGGGGTGAGAGTGGGTGGGTATGGAGGAAAGGAAAGAGGTGGGGGGGAGATGAGTGGGGTGAGAGTGGGTGGGGATGGAGGGAAGGAAAGCAGTGGGGGAGAGATGGGACGGACGGGAGGTGGTGAAGGATAGTTGTGTTACGAGGAGATCCCCACACCGTGCTGGGCGGAATGACTTTTGAGTCGACTCAAAAGTCACCTTGTTATGAGGAGATCCCCACACCGTGCTGGGCGGAAACGAGAGAAGCATGGGATGCAGCGACCCTCAATCATCTCAAGCACCCATTTCACCTCTAGTTCACTCATAACTCCTCCATCCCTCACATCCTCTCTCCTCTGCTCCCTCTACTTCCCAGAAGAGTCACCCCAACCTTCACGCGTATCTGGTTCTGCTGCTGAACCAGTCCAATCCAATGGTTGCCATTGAGTGACGGAAGCTTCACCATGCCACTGCAAGCTTTCACCTTTTCCTCTTCTCCTCACCACAGCAGACCCTCACTTCCCCCCTGCCGCCTGTGAGCCCACCTCGTTCTGCTGTGCAGACAGCCGCTGCAGGCAGCGCTGCACGACGTGGTTACCGTTGAGGTCCTTGATCAGTGTCACCACGCCACCCGCCAGACTGGCTGTCAGCCGCTGCACCGCTTGGGGGTTCGTCACTGTCTCTATCAGCTTCTGCACTGACCGCGTGCTGATGGTATGGGACAGAAAAAGGGAAGCGGGTTAAAGGGGTCCATCTCAGTTTCTAACTTTTGAGACGTTAAAGCCGGTGCACTGCCTGGGGGGTGGGACCGTCACCGCCATCGTTATCAGCTTCTGCACCGACCGCGTGCTGTTGGTGTGGGACAGACAATAGGGAAGGAAGAGGTGAGAGGGGGACATTGCCATTGGCCGTCACCGTCTCTATCAGCTTCTGCACCGACCGCGTGCTGTTGGTGTGGGACAGACAATAGGGAAGGAAGAGGTGAGAGGGGGACATTGCCATTGGCCGTCACCGTCTCTATCAGCTTCTGCACCGACCGCGTGCTGTTGGCATGGGACAGACAAAAGGGAAGCGGGTGAAAGGGGTTCATCCCAGTCTCTAACTTTTGAGACGTTAAAGCCGGTGCACTGCCTGGGGGGGGGCGTCACCGCCATCTCTACCAGCTTCTGCACCGACCGCGTGCTGTTGGTGTGGGACAGAAAAAGGGAAGCGGTTTAAAGGGGTTGATCACCTTGAGTGATTCTAAGACGACAGAAGCCACTGCACTGCCTAAAGGGGTGTCACTGTCAGGATCAGCTTCTGCACCGACCACGTGCTGTTGGTAGGTATGCTGTTTGACATCAACCCTTCGGATAAGTGGACATACACACTATTGTCCACTTGACCCTTTGGCACCACCATCCCATCAGCTTTACTACTGCACTCAACCGTGCATGTTGAGGGAGAAGCTGACGAGGTCCGTCTGGTTCTCTGTCGCCATCCATGGCGAGGTTCTCCTTCCATTTCAGATGAGACAACTTAAAGACCACCCCATCCCACCAACCATCACACTCACCCGTCCCGTGTATGTTGAGGGAGATGCTGACGAGGTCCGTCTGGTTCTCTGTCGCCATCCATGGCGAGGTTCTCCTTTCATTTCAGATGAGACAACTTAAAGACCACCCCATCCCACCAACCATCACACTCACCCGTGCATGTTGAGGGAGATGCTGACGAGGTCTGTCTGGTTCTCCGTCGCCATGGCGAGGATCTCCTCCCTCTGCACCTCACTGCACACCTCCAGAGCCTTCTGCACCAGGTAGTTGCCAAACGGGTCTGTCATGAGCTCCACCATGTGCGGCTTGATCTCCACGAATATGCGCGCCACCTCCTCTGAAGTACCTTCATCAAACTTGCGCTGCAGAAACCTGGGGGCGCGGGGCATAGTAGTAGTAGTAGTAGTAGTAGTAGTAGTAGTAGTAGTAGTAGTAGTAGTAGTAGTAGTAGTAGTAGTAGTAGTAGTAGTAGTAGTAGTAGTAGTAGTAGTAGTAGTAGTAGTAGTAGTAGTAGTAGTAGTAGTAGTAGTAGTAGTAGTAGTAGGAGGGGAGGGAAGGGAAGTGGAAGAGGGGGATCTGTCATGAGCTCCACCATGTGCGGCTTGATCCCCTTGAATATGCGCGCCACCTCCTCCGCACTGCCCTCGTCGAACTTGCGCTGGAGAAACCTGTGGGCGAGGGGCAAGAGGAAGTAGTATACTTTGAATACATCCACCAAATGAGACCTCTTTCCTCAAATACGCGTGCCGTTTGCTTTAGACTGCCCTTGCCAAGCTTCCACAGCAGAAATATATTCTCGCTACACTGGACTGGACTAGACTTGACCCACCTGCATCCATGCTGGTCCTTGGCAATGACAGCCATCTGCCCTTCCACCTCATCCAGCGACGAGTACTTTGAGTGCTGCGCCGAACCCAGCCCCATCCCCATCCCTCCCACGCCATACCCCCCCATCAACCCTCCAGCCCCAGAATATGCCCCCACTGGTGGCGACCCACTGCCCAGTTCCCCTCCACCCAGCCCTGCTCCAGGCCCAGGACCCATCAGCCCATTCGCCCCGCTCGCCCCGTCCATTCTGTTCCTCATGCCACCCCCACCAGGGCCCAGCATTCCGGGCGCCCCGCTGCCCCCACCTCCCGCCCCCCGTGCTGCCCCTGCACTGCTGCCGCCAAACCCAGGAGGCGTTCCCCTGCCCCCGCCTCCGCGCGGGCCCCTGTCTGGAGACACATAGGGAGCCGCGCCTACGCGGTAACCAGCCTGGGACGTTACACCCTGCGGTGCACTACCCGCGATTCCTGCTCCGCCCCCTGCTGCTCCGATACCTCCTGCTCCTGCTCCTGCAGCCCCCAGCCCCATTCCTCCCATAGAATGCAGGAACGGGCAGGACTCTCCCCGGGCACAGTACCCGCTCTGAGCAAAGAACTTGCACAGTCCAGACAGGGTGCTGCTGCTGCTGCCACTGCCTGCTGCGCCTGTGGCAGGCGGGAACCCGAACCCTCCCGCCATGCCAGCCAGGCCTGGGTTGAGAGCAAAGAGATCCATGCCTGGCGCGCCCCCCCGGAGCATCTGAGCGGCTGCTGCTGCTGCTGCTGCGCCGATGGGGAGGTTGGCGGCTTGGCCTAGCAGCTGCTGCTGCTGCTCCTGCAGGAAGGCTTGCTGCTGGAAGAGTAGCTGCTGCTGCTGCTGGCGCTGCTGCCGCATGAGCAGATCCTCCTCCACCTGCTGCTGCAGCGCCTGCAGCCGCTGCGCCTGCGCCTGGAGCATGGCCATCTGGAGGAAGACAGCAGAAGGGAAAGAAGAAGTCATGAGATGGACCTGAGGTTGTCGTATGGTAAAAGGGAGAAGTACACGCATGATCAGTGGGCGCTGGAGGGAGGTTTATCAAAGCAAGTTTTTCAGCCCAGCAACTGATCTCTTACCTGCTGTGCCTGAAGCAACGAGGACATATCCACATCCGACCCTGCTGCCACCCCTTGTGAAGCCCCCTTCCCTCCCTTGTCCTTCGAATCCTTCTCCCCCTGCCCTGCCCCTACTTGCTGTGGCTGCTGAAGCCCACCCATGGCAGAGAGCATATCCGCAGGGTTCGCCCCAGGAAACATCCTCGCAGCCTGCAGGGCAGCAGCTGCTGAAAACGCATCCATGGGTGCGCCAAGCCCGCCAAGCCCAAACCCGTCAAGCCCCATACCCATGCCAAATCCCCCTCTTGGCCCAGCACCCCCTGCCGCTGCTGCAGCCGCTGCAGCCATGCCGCCCATCCCGCCATACAAGTCCACGCCAGGCGCGCCTGCTCTGGCCCTCAGCAGCTGCTCATACAGGTGCAGATTCGAGGGGGCGATGCCTGCTGCGTCTGGCAGCATGCCTGGAAGAAGGCCCGCCCCGCCTTGAGCAAGAAGGGCGTCCAGACCCAGAATTCCGGCGCCCTGACTTCCCAGCCCTGGGGAACCAAGTCCTGGCAGTGCCCCTCCTGCGGCTCCAGCCAGAGCAGGGGAGCTTGCAGCAGCAGTGGCAGCACTAGGAGCTCCTGGGGTGGAAGCTGCTGGTCCAGCGGCGCTTGATCCTGCCTTTTTCGCGCTGGCGTCCGCTGCTGCGCCTTTCCCTGCCTCCCCTGCCTTGTCTTTGTTTTGGGTGGGGGCAGCAAAGGCTGCGGCTGCAGCTGACAAGCCCATTCCGACAGGCAGTCCTGCTGCTGCACCAGCTCCTGCGAGACCAGCGCCTGCCAGTCCTGCCGCGGCTCCTACCCCTCCCCCTGCACCCACAGCTGCCAGAAGCTCCTCTAAGCTCGCACCAGACGCTCCTGAGGCTCCTCCCATCGCTTGTAACAGCGCAGCCGTTGTGAAAGGATCTAGACCCACAGTTCCGCCCAGCAGACCTGCAACAAGAGCGGGTGGTATACCACCAGGGCCTCCAACGGCGCCTGAGAGAGAAGAGATTCCTGCAGTGGCAGAGGAGCCAAGAGCAGACATGCCACCCATCCCTCCCATGAACCCGCCTACATTAGCCGTCCCTACTACGACTGGACTTCCCTTGCTGCCATGACTTCCAGAAGGGCTGCTTACGTGCTGCTGGGACCCTGCCTTGCCGTGTCCTGATCCGCTATCAGCAGCTCCGTTACTGGAACTCGCGTCTCTAACAACGGGTGTGGATCCTCCTACACCGAGCCCCTGAAAAGCCGTTGCCAAACCATTAGCTCCAGAGGCGTCTTGACCTGGTCTCTTATCAGCCAGCGCTTTTCGTGAGAGCTCCCGTTCTTGCAGCGCCTGCTGCTGAGCCACCTGCCGCTGCATCTCCTCCAGAAAGGCCTCCTCGTCCATCCCGTCCCCTCCGCTACCAGGCGTCGCCCCTCCATTGGCGCTCCCACCCTCGTTCTGCACCCTCTCCGCGTCCTGTCTCCTCATCTCTTCCATGCTTTCCCTCAGCTTGCTGTCATCTAGTGCCAAACCGCCAAAGAAACCACCGTCGGCTCCCATCTCGCCTTCTCTTGCAGTGAATTTAGGAGAATCGGTGTACAGCTGGAGGTTTTCCACGGGAGGTGGGAGCTTTTTCACGCCGGAATACACCTTGTAGAACTCCTCATAGTCTTCGTCTCTTCGGATGTCTGCCAGGTCAGGGGAGTGGAAACGATGCGTGACGAACAAGTACAGAGGAAAGAGGTAATGAGCGCGTGAAGAATCACACTATCCTTTCCAATGGTGAGTGAACCTCGTTCGTAACAGCACGTCACCCTTTCCAATGGTGAGTGAACCTCGTTCGTAACAGCACGTCACCCTTTCCAATGGTGAGTGAACCTCGTTCGTAACAGCACGTCACCCTTTCCAATGGTGAACCTCGTTCGTAACAGCACGTCACCCTTGCCAATGGTGAACCTCGTTCGTAACAGCACGTCACCAATCGTGTCTGCATTCTGACTTTTAGACGGAGGCAACGTAATCCTACATGTTAGCACCTTACAGGAAAAGAACGTAAACTGATGAGCATGAAACCTCAGACACAAGGTGTGTTAGTCAGTTAACAGGGACGTAACCTTCAGAAACGTAACCCTTGAAAGGTACCTTCAAAAGGCTTGACAGCAACGTCACCCTCGGCGCTACCAGCGAATGCTCCTGTGTCCGGTGCGATGCCATAAACTTTCTGCAGATTTCAATGATACGGATCAGGATGATCGTAACCGCAAAACGTGTACTTTGCACGGTCAGGAACCACTTCTCCCTTAGACATACACGACAAAGAAAGTGTGAAGTCTTGCAATGGCAAATTCGAATTTATCATATCGACAGCTCTCAACAACTTGCCAACCTGTAATTCTGCCAGCTGAGGAGGAGCGGATGTAGCTCTTGGGAGCAGCTCTTCTAGAATCTGGTTAATATCAGCATCATCCTCTGATTGAGGCTCTCCTGGAACCCCTGTTCCGTCAGTCGGCTCGTTTATCTGCAGCTCTGAATCCAACTCTCCGCTACCTGGCATTGTTTTTGCACTAATCTCATCTTTCACGCCTTCCATTCCAAGATATAGATCGACGGAGGGCTGGATATCAAACTACACCAGAAGAACTCTTCCGCTTCCGAAAACGGCTGGAGTCATGAGCAGGCGATAACTGCAGACAAACACAATGGGTGGAATGCGGATGGATGATTTGACGGACTTCTAGAACGCTCATCTGTTCTGAAATATAATGCAGCTCTGATAATGATTTCCCGTTCGACCCATTTGCCTGAGTTGATCTCTTGACCAACCAAACCAACCTAAGTGGAATTGGAGAAGTCATTGCGGGAAGTGTTGGGCCAGATAGAATGGGAGGGACGAACGATAAGGGGACGGAGTGGACGGCCAGACCACATGTTCCCACGCTCGTGATTCCCTTTGTTACCCGCCACCGTCTAGTCTGCCGTCGAGCCGGTGAAGTTCTGATCCGTCCACATCAGCATCTCCACCTTTGCAGCGCTAGCTTCACCATTTTCGAAAATGGCCGTTCAATCCCAGTGGTTGGGATCCATCCGTTGGTGCTTCTCTAGGGTTATTTTAGCTGGACCAGAATGCTTACAGAGTTTCTCTGTAGATTCATCAACTTATGTGGTTAAACGAATGAAAACATAAAGGGTGTGTTTCGTTTCAAAATTCGATGACGCAAAATGTTTTTCGCAGAAGAGTTCGTCTGTCGTCGCTATATGTGATTGGGCGACGGAGGATTGTCGTTGGGTCCTTCTCCAACACCTCCTTCCTCCACAAATCGAGACGCGGGTCCGCAGTGCTTCCATTTTCATTGAAGGGCTGTTCAGGGTGAAAACTGCATCTCATACTCTTCCTTTGTTATTTCTACCTTGAAGGGTTTGTGTAAGGACGGGATATGTCTGCGCCCCTCTGGCAATCCTTATCGACAAGGATAGAGGTTCTAAATTAGGGTGCTTCTGTAACTGCATATCCCTAGTTGGCTGTACTTGGCTGATCCCCTTTTCGGTAGGACTGGTTGATGGAAGGGGGGGGGACCATGGCGGCCAATCCAAAAACCGTAGAGGATGTTTTTAAGGACTTCAGTGGTCGGCGAAAGGGCATGTTAAAGGCTTTGACAATCGGTATGCACGACGTGGTCTATATTTTTCAGATTTTGTTATCGCCTCATTGCGAACCTAAAATATGCTTTTCGAGGTTAACACCATTTCGTCGTCCCGCGTGTGAGTGCAGATGTGGAAGATTTTTATCGACAGTGTGATCCAGGTTTGTCTTCTGAGGCGATTTTAAAAAATTGACGACGATAATTTGCATTTAGATGGCTCGGTAGTCCGCCTCTTTCTTATCGTTCTGTCGCTCTTCGTCGCTTCGCTTGTCGCAGAAAAGGAGAATTTATGTTTGTATGGTTACCCGGAGGAGGCTTGGGAGGTCAATCTACCAGCAGAGGAAGTGCCACCGGAACTACCAGAGCCCGCTCTTGGAATAAATTTTGCAAGAGATGGAATGCAGAAGAAAGATTGGCTAGCCTTGGTTGCAGTGCACAGCGACGCATGGCTCCTCGCAGTAGCATTTTACTACGGAGCTCGATTCGATAAAAATGAGCGGTACGATGTCTTTCGCTTCAATCTAGATCTACATTTTTTTTTTTTTGCATTTTGCTAAATTTATTTCGGTCGTGCTGATGCAGGAAGCGGTTGTTTAACCTTATCAATGACTTGCCCACACTATTTGATATAGTAACGGGCAAGAAGCAAGCGGTTGAAAAGGCAGCAGCCAACAACAGCGGGTCGAACAAGGCGAAGAGCTCTGGCAAGGCGGTAAGTTTTACCCAGTGTTGTGGCATTTCCCCTCAATGTGCTGTTCTAGGGTTCCAAACCTTTCTTGTCTGCTGACTGTTCGTGTTCACATTTTCAGCGGAGTGGTGAGGTGCAGACAAAACAATCGAAGGCGAAACAAGAAACTCCAGAGGAAGAGGAGGATGACGAAGAGGAGCATGGGGAAACGCTTTGTGGCATTTGCGGCGGGCTTTATGGGGCAAACGAGTTCTGGATTGGTTGTGACCATTGTGATAAATGGTGCGTTGATCTTGTTTCCGTTTCCAATTCTGTCCCATTCTTCACAATATGCGCTTCCATCCTAATACGATGTTGTGTTTCTGCAGGTACCACGGGAAGTGTGTGAAAATAACACCAGCCAAGGCAGAGCATATCAAGGACTACAAATGCCCGTCATGTGCAAAGAGAGCTAGATAATGATTTGTTGATCCTGTATTATGTTTGCTTGCTAGTTGACCTTAGTGATGGAATAGCCTTTCCCTGTTACCACCTGATCTGGTGGAAATGAAACATCTGCTGGGTTATAAGGGTTGGGAGGGATCTATCTGGGTTAGGAAATTGTTATGCTTGGTTAGGAAACTAACATGGATATTTCATCAGCCAATCTGCTAATCCCCCAGCACATTGTGGATAAAAGCAGTAGTGCATCATGTATGGTACTAAAACTGCCACTTTCATACTGTTTTTGACTCCCAGCTCCAAATATTTCTTATATGTCTTCCATCAACCACACAAACCCTTCTCATTTCACCTGTAATTAACTGTTGTGTGGGTATAACCCTCCTCCAATGAGGACCTAAACCGCTCAGGTTCCCAACTTAGAGGGAAAGGAGAGAAAGCTAAGAGGGAAAGCCAGTGGGGAGCTGGATGCCAGGCAAGAAAGAGGGGAGTGAGGGGTGAGAGGCACCTCAGGAGCAATTACGGTAGAATTTTTTGGGAGGCGGTGAATGCAGGAAGAAGCAAACAGGGGCCTGACAGGATGGAAGGAGACGAGTGATGGAAGGAGGGCCAAGAGAGGGCCAAAGGGGGGAAACAAAGGGTGGTGGTGGAAGGGAAAAGGGGCAACTATAAGGGACAAGAATTGAGGGCGATGGAGAGAGGACGAGGGGAAGAGTGGGTGGGATGGGGTAGATGAGGAAGATAAGTAAGAGGTGGAGTGGGGGAGGGATGGATAGGGTTAGGAAAAACGGACAAGGGGGGAAAAAGGTGTGCAGGGAAGAAGGGACGGACGGGGAAAGGGAAAGCTGAAAGACAGATGGGGGGAAATGGCAGGAGAGGGCAGTCAGACGACAAGTGGAAAAATAACGAAAGGGAAATGGAAGAAAGGGATGGAGAGGGAGAGGGAGGGAGGGAAGGATGGACGCCCAGATGGAAGCGATGGAAGGACAAAGCGGCGTGAGAGGGGGAGTGGGGAGGGAAGCTGGAGAGAGCAAAGCAGGAAAGGGAAGGGGATTTGCATGGCGAAGCGGGGGAGGTGGCAGTGGGGGCTGGGCGAAGGGGAAGGGACGGAAGGAGGTGGAAAAGGACAGAGCGCAGAACAGCAGAGGAGGGAGTTCGACAAGAGGGTACAGCAGACTCAGAAATGGCAGAGAACGGGTGGAAATGGTATGCAGAAGAGTATCGGAAGTAAGCAACAGGCAGAGAGCGCGAGTGGATGTCTTCTCCCTCTTCAGAAAGACCTTGCCTGCCAATTGTTTCCATCGTATACTAACCAGCCGTTTTATTGCCTATATGAATCCTTGTCCACACTCTCATTGGCTCCTTTAGACTCACAGCCTTGGTCCAGGTTCCACAGCGTTCTGCCTGCAATTGTAGCTTCAGCTACAGGTGCCCTCAACCTTTCTCTCCCCCACAAAACCTTGAAAACCAGTTCTCTCGGTGAATTTGATCCTCCACATCATTTGGAATCCTGGGGTGACTGTTTCAGAAGAAAATACCACGCATGCATGGACACTATATTAGACGGTGTAGGGCCAGGGACGGCACAACTCCAGCGCCTAAGCATGCGCTTAGCTCCGCCTGCAGGAGAGACATGAGCTCTGTTCCTGTGCGACGGTACACCCAACCCTGGCCTGGTAACCAGTCAAAGCGTGCTGGACCACTGCAGGGGAGAACAGGAGGAGGCAAGCAGTGGATGAAGCGTGAGAAACTGCTGAAACAGAAGCAGGTGATATGTGCACAAAGTTGCAATTGGATTCAGCACGGACAATCAACTACACATTTGGCAAATGTAACACGAGCAATGGGTATGCGGCGCGTGGATTACAAGGACACACAGCTCGTAGTCAAGGCAGCCCAAGATAAACCTGTGACGGTGGTGGCATGGTCCAGTGATCAAGATGGGTTCGGATTACGAGAGACATACCTTTGTGGGGATGAAAGCCAGATTTGCCTGTTTGGGGCTTGCTTGTTGATAACAAAAATTCCGTGTTGTCCGAGACGAAGCGTCAAAACTCCTTGCTGCGTAAAGTAATTGAATAGAGCAACACAAAAGAAAGGTGCCAGGTATTTCTCAATAATAAGCGCTTCACTGCATTGGAAGCGACCCAGCCATACGGTAAACTTCAGATCCCAGCTAAACAAGAAATTTGGGCAAAGAGAATGACATGTTGCTGGTACAAGACTATGTGAGTGGGACTCCGAGACGTAAACATGAAGCCTAAAGACACTTACTGACAGGTCTGCATCGAATCCTTCTATGTCCAGCTCATCTCCAAGAGCCTGCAAAACCGCCAGACAGCAACAAGGGTAAGCTTTGGCCAAAACGATCAAATGGCATGGGGGCGAAGATCAATAGACTATTTGTTAGAAGCCCAGATTTGTGAAAAGCAAGAGCAGCTAAACGGGTCAGGCTTGGAAGCATTTAACTAAACAGACGCAAATGTCAGCATCTAAGTGTCAGAGCGAAAGCATCTGACTGTGAGCATCTCGGTGCATACATCGAATTTCTCATGGAGCCAGTGCAGGGCTTCGTCTGCGAGCCGGTGAAATTCATTCTCACTCAACTCCCCTTCCGTTGCTTCTGCTGCGTCAGACGATGACGGTCCGAGCACCGACGACGTTGGTTGTGGTGATAACGTCGAAAGTTGTCGAGACACTTTTGGTTTTGTTGATAGTAATGGCGTCGGCTGTATGGTCATCAGTGTAGGCTGTGGTGCCGACGGACCGGATTTTGATAAAAATAGCCGTGACTGTAATCTCGCCCGACTGGCATCATAAATCAATAACTGTCTTTCGCAAACGGAATCTGCGGGGTCGACTGCAAGGACGAGTTGCGTGTTTTGCAGCTGAGCATCTCCCTCGTCTGCGACGTTGCACAACCTACTAGTAGTAAGGCTGTCGTCTGTCCATAGAAACGGTGTTCCCGACTGGGTTCGTGGCAAAGGAACACATCGCGGCTGGAAAAATCTCCGCTGTCCTTGAGAGAGAATGGTACGAAAGAACCTATTAGCCATAGGGCATACACGGGTAAAAAATCACGAATCACGTGCTCCTACCTAATGACTCTCTCCTAAAAACTGATGTCCCAAAATCATCCGCACGGGAAATCTTATTGACAGCACAGTGAACCACGGCTGGCAGAGCGCCGTGGCAAAGGGGCGTCGGGAGATAGCTGGCAAGAATCCCTGAATCGGGTTGTGCTTCTACTCAACCATGCTTGCAGTGACTTCTGCGAGAGTCTAGCAGGCGAAGGGTGTCATGGCAGATGGATAATGGGCATCGACATCGGGATGTCAGCATGGATCATCCAGCTTCTGCGGGTACCGAAAGGACGTCTGAATGCGGCTCAATGAGGATTTGTACGATCTAGGGCGGTCTATTTAAAGCTGTCGCCTACATACTTCCTGCAGGAGGACTTGGTTTATCACTTGAAAACCTGGTAGCACAGGGCTTCGCTCCAACCTTGAGTGGCGAGGTGCAGTTACTGCTTTGTGACAACCCAACCCCCCCTCTGAAAATTGGCCTGCTCAGGATTGGCTTACAGTTTTCGCGCCAATCTCCTCCCCAACCTCGATTGGTTGCAGGTTGTGGCGAAATTGCCAACACAACCCCAACCTCACGAAATAAGTACCCCCCAACCGAAGTTGGGGTTGTGTTTGAAACCTTCGCGCCCTCATTTCTGGAAAAAGGACCATTTCGTGAGCAAATCAGACTGCGTCCTAGGGTGTGCACCCGAAATACCCCCAGAAAATACCATTTCGAATGTAGACCGCAGCTTTAAGATATAGAATGTTTGGGTAACTCTTGTGGTCAAACTCAGAAGGCGTCTGGTCGCAAGCTTAGGGCGGGTCATGTTATGAATGAACTTACAGAGTGCGCAGAATAACGAATAACAAGAATGAGTACTGAATTGATTAACTGATACAATGAACACACAAAGTGACGAGGCCTAAATAGGGGAAGTCCTAGCTAGGCGAAAAGGTAGGGCGAAGATGGCTCGGTGATGGTTGCGATTGGAGCGGAGGCCGATTCGGGAGTGGTTCGGTGCGACGAAATAGGGCGAACAGGTTCGTCGCGTGACCCTCGGGATGGCCTCGCTAACGAGTGCCTCAGTAAGGATTTTTAAATCCTTACACTCTCCCACCTTCTAAAAAAGGCAGCCCTGTAGTGAGAACAGACCCCACACTAGCGAGGATGCCGTAGATCTCCTCTTCAGCTGAATCCGACGGCTGAAATGCATTTGACAATATTTTTTGAAGAGGTTGGAATGTAGGCCGTCGATGAAGTCCGATGTCGATCTGACGGTCGAAGATGAACTGGCCCAAATGAATTGAAGTTGGAATGTGGGCCGTAGATCGAGCAGCTGTAGATATGACAGTTGAAGATTGACGCGAAAAGAGAGGGAACCTGCTGACGCGAATTCAGACGCGATTGAGCAGGGACCGTAGATCGTGTCAGTGTAATCGCGATCGTCCGTCGTGCTGACGCAACCTGACAGAGTCAGAAAGGACCGAGAAAAACGTCAAGGAAAGAACAGTGCAAAGCACTTTCTCCCCCCCCTCCAAGAAAACTGCTCACAAAATCTTCACAGCTGCGCCGAAGTAAAATCCAACAGAATCAGGTGTTAAGTCCCACGAAGAAGAGCGTCGAGCGTAGCTGTCCAGGTGAAAACGCGTCGGTGTGGAAGGTCGATGACGAAACCAGTAGTACGTGCTTAAGAATTCTTCGAGGGCGAACCAGAAGATGTAGCCCGGAAATCGTGTCGAAATAATCTAAGACCTCGAACTGTGAATTCTTGTCGTGACTCATCCAGAATCTTCGGTGGTGTCTTCAGCAGTTGCAGCTGGCAGCACCTGACGTGGTTGATATTAAATGCAGTTGTCGTAGGCAGGTCGAAGGCGAGTTGTCAGAGTAGATTTGGGATGGTTTCTCCGATAGTTTTGTCGTTAGGCGCCGATGGTTCGTGGGCAGGGATTAAATTTTACAACTGTCTCTTGTCAGAATATTATGTTTCTCTAGTCTGCAGTGGGGTACTCTATAGTGAGTACAGCCCTGTTAGGGTTTGCTATATGTATCCCAATGTTTGCTAGTGATCATTCATTCCTGTTTCTTCACATGGTATAGAGCTGGTTCGAATTTTTTCCTAAGGGCCCACCACTAAACTTTTTTTTCCTCACCTGCCCGAAGCGCCCTTCGCGCTCGGCCTGCCCTACCCTTTCGCGGCCCCTTAGCGGCCTGCCCTGCCCCTTAGCGGCCCCTTCGCGGCCCCGTCACGGTCCTGTCGCGGCCCCGTCGCGACCCTATCGCGGCCCCGCCCCGGCCCTGCCCCGTAGCCTATCGCGGCCCCGTCGCGACCCCGTCGCGGTCCCGCCCCGGCCCTGCCCCGTTGCCTGTCGCGGCCCCGTCGCGGCCCCGTAGCGGCCCTGCCCCGTCGCCTGTCGCGGCCCCGTCGCGGCCCCGTCGAGGCCCCGCCCCGGCCATGCCCCGTCACCTGTCGCGGCTCACCGGGGACCCGCGCACCGCCCCCCCCTCTTTTCCCGTCGCCCATCGCGGCTCCCTGGGGGGGGGGGGCGCGCGTCGCCCCTTCTTCCGCCTGTTCTAGCGCCCTGGGAGGCCGCGCGTCGGCCCCCGTAATCCCCCCCCCACCCCGTAACCTCCCTACCCGCCATCCCGCCCTGCCCTGTGTTAGGGTTTGGGGGTGGCGAGTAGGGGGTGGCGGGTGTGTGGACTCCCCTGCTCCTCCTCCTCCTCTGTCTCCCACTGCTGCAGTTGCCGCTGAGGGGGGTGGATGTGTGGGAGCCAAAGGAGTGGTGCTAGAGGGTGGGGTGTGAGTGAACCTAGGGTGCAGCAAGGGGTGTGTGAAAGGGGGGTGGGATAGTTTGGGGAGGTTGAAGGGGGGTGGCCACCGTGAAGCCCGCAGCTCCAGTCGCCCGTGAGACCGTTGCGCCAGTCGCCCGTGAGCCCGTTGCGCCAGTCGCCCGTGAGCCAGTTGCTCCAGTCGCCCGTAAGTCCGTTGCTCCTGCCGCTCAGAGTTAGCCGCGGAGCCAGTTACTCCAGTAGCCCGTGTGCCAGTTGCTCCAGTTGCCAGTGTGCCAGTTGCTCCAGTTGCCCGTGTGCCAGTTGCTCCAGTTGCGCCGTGTGCCAGCAGCTTCAGCTGCCGCCCACTACCTCCTCTCCTCTCATAGTCCCTCCTCCTCCACACTTGCCCTCTGCGATAGCCTCTAGCTTTGCTTACATTTGTGAACTTTAAACTGTTGCTTCTTGTACTTGTGCTCAGAATGTGTGATGACATTGTGATCCACCCTGAGCTTGCTTTGCTTTGCTTGTTGTGCTGATCATACCCCACTTTGACTATGGGGGTGTATCAGAATATTATGTTTCTCTAGTCTGCAGTGGGGTACTCTATAGTGAGTACAGCCCTGTTAGGGTTTGCTATATGTATCCCAATATTTGCTAGTGATCATTCATTCCTGTTTCTTCACATCTCTCCCCCCCTTCACTGTTGATGCCGCCTTCTTCAGTTCGTCATAAGCCGTTCGTACCCCTTGAAAACTCCGTGTAGTCCCACGATGTCGCTCATACGTTGTTGTCGCATGCGTTTAATCAAATGTCAAAGGATTGTCACGAAAATGTCGATGTCCTCGCCATAAAACCGGTAAGTCCGTCGTCAAACTCCGAAATTGCCGCTAAAAAACAACCCCGTAAAATCCGCAATCACAGTTGCAGTTCTCCTCCGAAATCTTCGGTCGTACTATAGCCGCCCACTCGGTCACCAGCTGTTTCCGTCAGTTCACCAGAACCCATCTGGGGGCATAATCTGGAACCGGGGACTAGACCTGGGTATTCCGAGACCGAATTGCACGGATACTAGAGGCATCAACGCCGTTGACCCCGTCGTCGAAACTGCTCCCGCCGATGATGTTTTAAAAAAATAACACGCAAAATCCCACTGGAACTTTGCAGATGTTTCACCTCATCGCTCGTCGCCGGCAGGTAAATCCCGAAACTTCGGCTGCTCCCACGCTCCCTTTTACTGAAGAATTCCCCGCGGTGTACGTTTAAACACCCGTGGGTTCTAGGTATCCCCGCCGCTGTGTTTCTTGCCAGGCGACTTTAAAAAATGACCCTTCAGGCGAAGTCCCCCAACGGCTCAACCGCGCTCCAAGAAGCGAAGAAACACCCTCAGCTTCAACTTTTTTTTTTTTGTTTTTTTTTTTTTTTCGTATTCACCCCCCGACAATATCGCTTGCGCCGTTCACCCAGCGTCCGCCCTTGTCGGATGGGGTATCGTCGTTGCTGCTTGCGCGAACCAGGCCACGTTGGAGAGGGAAAAACTATCGGAGTCGGGGTAGCCTTAGCTAACAGGAACTATCGCCCAACCGTTTTGCAGCCCGCCATGCCTATCACGCCACGAAAATTCCACAGCTTCCCGGTCTCAGCTTCACAGCTGCGCCGGCATCTCGTGTAGACGCCCGGGTAAGGAGAAACCTGTCAACTGCACCAATGTTGTCCTCGCAGCTCCCCGATTTTTTCGCGTGCCGTTCACCCAGCCCGCTTTTGTCGGAGTAAAACAGTGCCGCGAGCTCCATTTTTTTTTTTTGTCTTTTCTGTACAGCTGTCGAACGAACACCAATCCAGGTGTCTTTAACCAGCACAGGGTAGGCACGTGTTCACCCCCATTATTCGGCCAAGTAAGTTG